GTGCTGAGCAGTTCTAATCCTACGGGGGACCCAAGAGCAGCCTCAAGGCAACACTGTGACATATAGGCGCCTCTGGTATACCCGGTACCTGGTACCTGCCTCCGCCCCTTGGTCTCCCTACCTCTACTGGGGAGCTGGTCTCTTGTTTATCCTGAAGTCAAAATGTGATTTGAGAAAGCACTGGAAGCTGATGCAGGCTAAGCTGTAAATGACCAATAAAGGAGTTCATTTCCAGACAGATTCCTATTTTGACAGAATCAAGGGCATAAGCCAAAGAACAGCTGTCTGGCTGGTAGGGACTCAGGCATCCTATTGTACATGGGCACTTCAGGTAATGGGCACTGTCAGAAGGGGTTGCTGTGTATTAATGCATCGGACTCCCCAACAACCTCAGGAGAGTGGAAGAAGCACTGACTGTCAATGTGGAGATGGGGAAAGTGAGGCATATATGGCCAACCTCAGGAGTTCAACTGGTTCACACAGTGGGGAGAGCCAGTCAGAGCTCAAGTGAAAAATAGGAAGAAAAGCAGTGGGGAGGTGAAGTGAAGAGGAAGCCCGGAGGTAAAGAGGTCTCTCTTTAGCAGGAGGGAAGGATGCCCAGGGCATGGACAGGCTCCCTTCCATTTGTTCTGGAGTTAGCTACTGCTTTTCTGCTCCTTCAAACGGTTACAAGTTGACAGGAGAGAGAGCCAATAATTCTGCTTGCAGAAATGATCTGTGAGTGATCTGGGTTGGCCCTAAGACCAGCTCTTTTGTACTGGGCTGTGACTTTTCTAGATTACTCAACGTTTGGGAACAAAGCTGGGTCAAGGACAAACTTTTTTGGGGTATGGTGTTTAGGAAACTGCTCCCCCCACCCCTCCAGGAGCCTGTGAAATCTGGAACTCCTTGGAGGGTGAAAGGTTGCCCATCTGGCAGCAGTTCTCACATCCCCACCTCTGCCAGGCCAAGCTGTTCTCTCCGTTCTCCCCTGAGCTCTGGCTGCCACCTCCCAGCCACCGGTCAGGGCAAGGACAACTCAGGATCCTGAAAGAAAAGCAACATGCAGCCCTTCCCTCAGCCTTCCTGTCTATTGGTTAACCGATGAACTGGTTAACTGGGCACTTCACTAGCATGCCCTGGGTTCCTCATCCTGATCCCTGTCCTCTCTGGTGTGTGACACCAGGTGACTATTCAATTGTTTAGAACCTCCATTTCCTCATTTGTACTGTGGGGTCAGTAATAGCATGGACTGGTGAGTTATGGTGAGCACAGGTCTGACACATGACCTACAGTTAGCAAGTGTCTGGCTCACCTAGCTGTCCCCACCCTTGTGTGTGTGTGTGACATCCTCTGTGTCTAGATGATATGTTTTCTGATTTTTGAACCCAAGCATCAAAGAAATAATAGGAGTTAGTGTGACAACTTCTTCAACAACTCTTTATATTGGTGCATTTAGGGTCAACTTCATGGACAGCCCTGCCTCATGTTTTCAAGTTTCACTCATGCTGTAAGATAAGTGACAATTGAGAGGCTGATGTGTGGTGGTTGCCTTTATTCATTCCACAAATATTTACTGAGCAACTACTGTGTGGCCCATAGGGGCCCACCGGGAATAAAACTGAGGTGAACCAGCCCCTGGGGGTTAGAGAAACCAGACAATCAACTACATAACTGAGATAATGAGTTGGATGACTCGCCAGTGGTAGTAAGAGCTGACCTGAAAGATAAGCTGGAAATAGGGTAAAGAGCGAGGGATTTATTTTTTATTTATGCATACAAGAGCTGGGATGTAAGCCAAGGTTAGGGGGGTTGGTGCGGTGAGATGATTTACCAGTGACAACGTGAGGAGCAGAACAGGCAGAAGGACCGAAATACACTGCTGAGGGGAGCAGCGGGGGAGGCAGGAGGGGTCCGACTTTAAACCCTGGGATGGAGAGATCTGAGAAGACAGAGTCTGAGTCCGCCCAGGCAGGAGGGAGACAAGGTGTACCCCGCACACCTTTGCGGCCGGGACCCGGTCATTCGTGGGGATGTAGGAGACACCCCGTCGGCGTTGACGCGGCCCTGCTCCGGGTGGCCTGGTCCCGCAGCCGGGGTGCAGGCGG